TTTTCCCTAGGTCGTCTGTACTGGCAACCAGAACACCATTGTGCCAACACTATGAAAGATCTACTAGAGTCCCAAGAATTAGAAACACTTTTGGGGAGTAACTGTATCTTGGTGCTTAACTTGCTTTTCGGGCCTGTGCGTTCCATGAATCTGCGAAATCTTTTCTGGCATGGTTTCGTTTCGCCACTTGATATCGAAGAGATGGGACCAGAAATTTTCCATTTTCTGTTTTCCGTTGTTTTAAGTATCGGCAATGGTTTACAACAGAAGGACTATAAAACTAGCCGTCCGTCAAAGCTTCCCGATTTTATTCAACAGCAAGACCTCGCAAATGTTGTCAATATAGATCCACATATTTCATTGACAGACGTGATACGCACCCATCCAGTTCAGTTAATTTCATTTTCGGCTTATTTTGAGTTTATTGATCGGTTGTTTTCTTTAGATCCTGTACCGTATCGAGATGTACTGTGCATGTCATTAGTGTGCTTGGCTATGCTGCTGCGTTATGAGTTAGCGACTGCTTTTGATTGGCCGGATGGTCAGTACACCTCAGAAGAAAGATTTTTTGTCACACTTGATAGTATCCTTGAACTGAAAGTGCTCAGCCTCATTCCACATATAATTTCTACAAGTCACTTGGAAGCGTTCGCCACTCACGTCAATAATCATATGTTAGCTGTGCTTTGTGATGTCCTAAGCGCGGAACACGGACCCCGGATACGTGATCATCTAAGTCACGGAGAGCTGTGGTCCGATGGTACAATAAAAGTTGAAAACGGCAAGTGCATATTTGAGTGCGCCGAGCAACATTTCAAGCAATCTGCTCTGCTCCTAAAAGCATGTCTGTTGGTTCTGTTATCACCCACAGAGAAATCTCAATGCGATTCATTTGGTCAGTGCCAGTGGTTTGCATCTTACACTCTCGCTTTTCATCCTCTTGCTCAGTTCGAAACCATAATGTCCAAAATTCAGTCTTCTCTGGACAATTTGAACCTCTTAACAAGTGATGTCCAGCATGAGTCACACTTCCGTTGGTCTTTTTCTACCTGGTTTCCCTCCACTGAGCGGGACTGTTCAATTACATGTAAAATCTCAGCCATTGACCAACTTTGGCGTATGTTATCAGCTTGGAATCTGTTGCCTGGATCTCATGCGCATTGGTCTATCAGACCTCAATCGGTTTTGCATCGTTTCAACCTGATCTTGTCAAAAACGAATGATGCACTGAAAAAGGTAACGGAAGTGAAGTGTCGTTTTTCCTCAGGCGATAATTTATCCTCCAGGCAATTGGCCTCCAAAGGTCGATTCGAAACTTGTTTCGTAGATGTGTACAGTTACTTCCTCTGGCTACTTCAGCTGGCTACCCTGGTCTGGATGTATTGGTTGGGTGGTGCGGGCGTTACTGTTGAAAACAAGTTGCATCTGTTAACATCCCAGTGTTTGGATGCAAAACTACGCGGCAAGCTTATCTTACAGCTGGACCAAACAAGTGACAAGTTAATCATGTGGATTTCCAAGTCCAAATGGGAAGCAATTAGCTCGTTTTTTGAAAAGTTTCCCCTAGTTTAATTTGACTTCTTCGTTTCATATTTTTTAACCGCTGTTGTCTATCAAACAATTGTATCTAACTATGTTTTTGTGTACCCTTTTCTTCATATTTTCGCGCGGGCATGCGTCTATTTTGCTCGAGTTTTTTCCCCAAAGAACGATTGCCATTTAAATTCTTGCAAGGAATCATTTTTCCATTTAGGTACTCGCTGCCCCCTAATAACAAACACTAGTTCTTGCCAGTAATTCTCCTTGATTTTCTTACAAATACATTTATGGTTTATCCGTTCAATTCGCACGATTCCATGAACTAGTTTTCTGTATTACACCATTATTTGGGAGCCTACCTTTGTTGTGGTATCTTGTGGACATCAAACAGTCTGTGCTATTTTTCTCTTGTTTACTACATAAAATAATAACCTCATCAGATTTTTTGTGGAAGTTGCAACAGTGCGCCCTACTCAACTCTGGGGATCTTTCTTCCAGAATTCCCATATTATCTACGTCTTTCACCTTTTTTTATTACACACACTTGTGTGATGAACGGCAGATGGGACGAACCCCATGGTCACGGAAACCTGCTTGCGTTTCTCGTCTCCCCCCCCCCATTTCTCCTTCAGAGTCATTTCTAACGAGGGATTCCAATTACCGCAATGTTTGTGGTTGGAAATCAAACTGAAAAAGCTGTCCAGTGCTTCCATAGCTTTCCCATGTATGGAACGCGATCTGGGTGAAAACCATATTTCAACTGGTTGTTCTCCTACCATTCCATCAAAGCTGACTTTACTGTCCTTGCAACCCCAGTCTATGTGAATTCTTGTTCTTCTGTTTTACTCTGCTCTCAACATTCCATTCTTTCTTCTGTTGTTTTCATCTAAATGAGCAGCCAATAAACAACAGCTAAAACCGACGCACAAAAGTGCACGGTTAATGGTTGTAAAAACTGAAACTGAAGTTACTTTGTATCCAGGTTGCCGATTCATTCTCCAGTGGATAGTAAGAGCAAAACTAGGATAATTATTTTCTGTTCAGCGAGGTGATAACGTTTCTCCAGAACAGGTTTGCCGTCTTATAGGTGTCACTAATGATTTTAAGTAAGCCTCACTTAGGTTTTTTCCTTACACAGTGATGTACAACAGACGGAGTAAACCCCATAGTCGCGAGGACCTGCTGTTCGGTAATGGAAACTGGTAACCCAAGTCCCGGAACTTCGAATGGCGAACCACATAAGGCTCCGCTAAGTGCTGAGACTGATTCTCCCACCACAACCTATGCTGAGACACAAAACAGAGAAATAGATGAGAGAATCGTTTCAAAAACAACTATAATCATAACGAACATCAGTGATATGGGGCAAGTATAAACACGTTATCAATCGTATAAATTGTCAAATTTTCGTTTAACAGCGTCTGCCATATTCGTTTGATAGACTACCTTTCACAAAAAAGTGATCCTTTCTCTGGTGTCTGTCTGGAGACGGATTCAGCATCTAACGTTTGGAAACTCTTCTCATTTGTCCAAAACATCCTTAGGTTTCCCCAAAATACACGTAGTGTAAGCAGTGTAACACAATGTTTACCGCGTAATCTCTATAGTATACCTGAGTAGAGTTTGCTTTCTACCTCGTGTGACACAGTTCAGTCTTTATATACCCTAATCTTTTCAGTTGAATATTATCTCTTGTTGAAAAAGTACTGAAAACCCGTTCTCTTAGCTCGGGTGCGAGCACTGAAGATGTCACCTCGGTGAACAGGCGAAATTGAATTACCCAGTGTATGAGAGTATCATTTTAGTGTAATCCCTCTTTTTGTGCGACATGTTTCAGTGCAAACGGTAAATGAACTGTTTTTTAACTCAGTGTTTGCAAATTTTCGTTTTCTTATTGTATAACAGACATATCATATAGTAAAGGATAATTAAGCAAACAGAAGCCAACACATTAGTACCAGGTGACCAAAGGTATGCTTGAATCGGTTGATATTTCTAGTTACAGTGTGGGTAAACTCCACCCGTTGATCTTCCAGTAAGACCAATCCAAATCGTCATATCTGTGGTTGATCGCTGCTTAGTAAGGTTTGAGAGAATAAGGTAGCACAAAATATGACAGTCTTTCTGGTTTCTGCAGTCCGCTATGCAAGTCCTATTTGGTGCCTTCCAGTAGCGGGGGTGCTTTCACTTTAATGAAGTAGCAAATGGTCAATACAGTTGGATCGATGGATCACAAACCGCTATTATTTATTAGTTGTTTGTTTCGCATTTCGTGACTCCTTGATCACGAAGAATTGCTGTTCAGTGATGGAAATTGGTAACCTAAGTCCCGGTACTCAAGGCGGTGAACCACCAAGTTAGGCATGGTATTGATGCGGATGACAGTGAAGGTGTCTACCACCAAAGTTGGGTGGTGGTGGCGAGGCTCGAACCTCGGACCATAGGGTTCAAAGCACACCGGTAACAGCGACTAAAATACTGCGCCACCAACATATCGAGGATACCTGGATGCCCTTATTCCAAGAGGTCGCGAAAGTCACCCACTCGATTGGGTGGCAAATCGTGGCTCAGTGGCGTTAAATCAAACTGACACGAGATGCTTCTTAGGTCAGATACTGACTATCAGAAAACTCCGGTCGTGAATCCCTAAGAATAACAGCTATTCTGTTTCGGGAAACCTGACAGTGTTACACGCACTAAAAATAGCCTGCATTTTATGAGAATTTCCGATTCAATGGCCATATGAATATGGGGTTGCAAACGGGCCTGTTTCCGGTAGGTTATTAGCTGACTTATTACAGAATATTTTATTGTTACACAAAATAGAAGTGAAACGAAGGCCATACAATCAAATAACCGTTAATGGTATGATTTCATGCCAGTGGTGTGTTTGGAAGTAACTAGTATCAGTTTCACTCATGATTCTCTTACGCTTCCGAAAGTCTCAGTTTGGTCGGTTATGGGTGTTCTTGGGTTGTGGTTGATCATTCTTCCTTTACAAATCGCGAAATGCTCCCACTCGACCAATCGTCTCAAATAGCCTGTGCTAAGAAAGCCCTACGCACTGCCTTCCCTTGGCGGAGG